TTTACTTTCCTTGTCCTGAGAGTGTCCACCCTCCCTCTGCCCCCCGAGGGCTTGGACACTCGGGCAGGATGCGGCCAGACAGCACCGCCTCGCGCCTGCAGGGGGCGCGGGCGGGATGCGGACCGACAGGGGAGTTTCTAGGCAGACACGGATTTCAAGAGGAAACTGGAGCCTGGGGAGTCCTGGCTTATGGTGTTTTTTTTTTTAATTTCAATTAGGGTTTCAATTCCTAAAGCACACATTGTGGCGATAGGAACATGACGTGCTCTGCAGGAGCTGCGAGGGTAGAAGGGTTTTGGAACAGTCCCTGGCACCGTGCTAGTTTTCATTATTCCATTCCTTACCTCACAAAAGGCCCATGAACTACTTCCTTTTGCAGGTGAGGAAACAGTCTCAGAAAAGGTCAAGCATGATTAAGTTGTGGGTCTGGGATTTGAACCTGAAATGCCTCTGGGCTCATCTCACCAAGCCAAAGAGGACTGGATCCAAATACCACCTCCCCTCTTCCCGCCTAAGGCAGACACAGCAAATTGATCACGGTGCTTTCCCACTGGATGGAGACGGGGACTCAGAATTCTTCTCAGCGTCAAACCAAGGCTGCCTCAGGATTTTCATGGACCCCCTGGGCATTTTTTTTTGCCTTTCTGGGCCCCTTTCTCCACTAAGAAATCATATTAAAAATTAGATTTTACATGATTGCTTTGATAAAAAAAGAATATAATCCAGGCTGGATTCATTATTATACATTCATTTTTTTCTTCTCATTTTAAAATAAATTAAAACTATAACATTTTTGCCCTGGCCAGGCGGTTCAGAGCATCCTCTCGTACACCAAAAGGTTGTGGGTTGGATTTCTGGTCAGGGCACATGCCTAAGTTGCTGGTTCGATCCCCAGTTGGGGCACATACAGGAAGCAACTGATCGATGTTTTTTTCTCGCATTGATGTCTCTCTCTCTCTCTCTCCCCCCACCCCTCCTCTCTGAAATCAATAAAAATATATATTAAAAAACAACAACAATGTGCCCAACTGGCGTGGCTTAGTGGTTGAGCTTCAACTTACGAACCAGGAGGTAACAGTTGGATTCTCTGTCCATGCATATGCCCAGGTTGCTGTCTCGATCCCCAGTAGGGGGCATGCAGGAGGCAGCCAATCAATGATTCTCTCTCATCACTGATGTTTCTCTCTCTCTCTCTCTCCCTCTCCCTTCCTCTTTGAAATCAATAAAAATATTTAAAGAAATAAAGACTTCAATGATCATTAAAAAAAAAGAAAAAACAATGGGCTCCCTCTACAAGCCCCCCCCCCCCCCCCCCCACCAAAAAAAAACCAGCAAGAGCCTCAGAGTGGCTGAAGCCAGAGGCCTCATGGAGCCTGTGGTTTTCTGCTGACAGAACCAAGCCTCAATGCCCTTTGGGCCACGTCGGTCACTGGCGAGATGCCATCAAACCACTCTCATTGCATTAACCTGGATGCCATGGCCTGCAGGGGCCACAGCCTGGGCTGCTGAGGGTTGACTAGCCAGCCAGTGGAACCAGTGAGAGAGACACTGGCCACAACAGTACCGGGAACATTCTGGCATTGGCAGCCATGGGAGGCCCACGATCTCCCAGAACAATCACTGCTGGTAATCCATTCCCTTATGTGGCAGTTTGTAATCTAGGCCAGCAGACTTCCTCGGAGGGAGCTGGGCTTAGAGTTTAGTCTGTGATGAGGTCAGGCCCAGACCGGATCAGGCTCAGCCCTTAGCCTGGGGTCAGGGTTAGAACTGAATCTGGAGCAGGAGTCAGGGCTCAACCAGTGATGATTAGGCTTGGGCCTCACTCTCCAGGATCCAGGCTCAGTCTGTGACTACACTCAGGGCTCAGCTTTTGGCCAGGTTCAATGCACAGGCTGAGATTATGGGTCAGTGTGTGGCCAGAGCTGTGTGACCCCGGGTCAGAGCTCAGTTTTTGGTCAGGATTCAGCCCATTGATTAGGCTCAGTCTTCCACCAGTTCCAGGGTTTAGTTCATGACTAGACTTGGAAGTTCAGTCTAAACTTGGGGTTAGGGCTCAGTGTAATGTCAAGGGTTAGTCTAGACTAGGGTTAGAATTCAGTCTGTGACTATGACTCAGTCTTGGGCCAGGATCAGGGCTCCATCTGGATCCAGAATCGAGGTCTCAAGTTGGGATCAGACTTAGTAAGGACTGGATCAGGCTCCGTATGTGACTAGAGTCAGGGCTCAACCTAAGGCCACGGGCAGAGCTCAGTCTAGAGCTGGGATAGAGAGGCTCAGTCTTGGCACGGGATCGGGGCTCAGTTAACACCAAGATTGGGGCTCAAGTTGGATCTGGGATCAGGGTGAGGGTTCAATCTGGCTTTATGCTCTGTTCTGAGCTCAAGGGGAAAAAAAAAGTTTCTGAAGACCTGGGAGCCCAAGGCAGGTGGGCCTGCAAGGAAGAAGAGCCCCCCGACTTGTAGGCAAAAAGCTTGCGTCCCTGCGAGCCTCTTCTTGCCTGCGAAAGCCGGGTGTCCTAGAGCCTTCTAACCTACATGGCTCTGCTGCCTGCGATCCCCTCGCACCAGAATAAAAATAGCCACTCACTTCAGAGCAGCTGACAGCGGGTGCCAGGCTGCCTAGGAGGAGGGGGAGAGGCAGAGAGGGAGGAGGGATGCCTGAGCGAGGCCCCTGCTGTGTGACCTTGGGAAAGTCACTCCTCCTCCTTGAGCCCATTTCCTGAGAGGCTCGACGGGAGGTAGAGATGTCACCTGCCCCGGGGCACAGGGACAGTGACATAACATGTGGCACTTGGCACCAGTAAGGAACCCTGGCGTGAAGTCTTGAGTTCCTGATTGATGCCCAGTGTACTTCCTCCTCTGGGCAGCTCTCCCTAATGAAGGCTCCCCGTCTCCACCTCCCCCGGTGCATGCAGAATCCTCTACCTCTCGAGCAGTTTCTCAGTGGCCACGGTGTGGCCTCCCTCACTGCGTGGCCTTGGTCAGGGTGACCAGGACGTAAAAGGAAGGACATTACCACTCACAGGATCCCTGGGAGGCAGCTAGGGGAAGAGGAGGAGGAAAGAGGAAGGTGTATACACCTGCTTACGGTGTACTTACTCTGAGCCGCAGGGCCATGCTGGCGTATGTCCAAATTTTGCATCCTTTCACGGACAGAACCTTCCACAAGCCATATCTTTGCACCTGCTGCTCCCTCTGTTCGCTGGGGCACTTCTCTTTTCAATTTGGCAACGTGGACTCACCTTCAAAGAAGGGGTTCAGTGCTCATCTCTGTGGGGGAAAATTATCCGCTATCTCCCTGGGAACCCCCTGCTCTGTCCCCTCCTGGCTGTGTGGTCCCCAGTCCTCAGTTTCCTCCTCTGTCAAATGGGATCGTATTTCCAACCTTCCAGGGTTACTATGGAGAGTAACCAAGATAATCACCAAGCACCAGCGCGTTCCTTTCCCATTCCCGACCCGAACAGCCTGAAGGTCAGCACTGAGAGTTTCCGGAAGGGGGCCGGACAGGCTGTACCCTGTGCCTCAGTGCGCGCCCCATCCCCTGGAGTGCGGGGAGGGAGGGAGCCAGCTCTGTGCAGCAGGGGGGCGGTTCTCCCTGGCAGCTGCCCCCATCCTGCCGCCCTGAGCCCCAGAGCCTGTTATCAACCTCCTTAGTCATCACACCAGCAGCTCAAATATAGCTCCTACCCCACTCCCTTCTCAGCTGGGATCCGCCCCCCACCTTCTTCCCCTGGTAAAGCCATGTCTGGGTCTCAGAGTCCCCTTCCCCCTCCCCCCAGGGATACAACTACACTGGGCCTCAGTTTCCGCATCCACCAAATGGGCAGGTTGGCGATGATACTGATGATGATACTGATGATGAGAACTCCAGAACTTACTTGTACCAGGCTCTGTACTAAACGCTCCGTGTGTACCATCTCGTTGAAGTTTCACAGCCACCTCGGGAGGTATCAGCTGTTTTTATCTCCTTACACAAACCAGGAATCTAAGTGACTTTCCCAAGTAAGTCAAGACCAGAAGCTCAGGGAGGGGAAATCCCGGGCTGCCCAGCGAGGGCCCAGGAGCCCTCGGCACACTCATTTGCATGACATTTGCCTGGCTTCCAAATGGCATTGATGCCCTTGTCCCTGCCCCCAGAACTGAGCCTGAGGACTGGTTCCAGGGGAACTGGATTACTCAGAAGCCAGTACTCTTGGTGGGCGCGGGGGCGGGGGGGGGGGGGCAGGCCTCAGTTTTCCCATCGATAAAACAGGAGTTAGAGGGCTGGACGAGATAAATTCACATTTTCCTTCCCTCTCTGGTGGCCTGCACACCACTCCCATGTCTACTCTCACCTCCTTCCTCACCCGCACCCCCACCTCCACCTCCACCTCCGACGCCATCAGCACCTCTTCTCCCATCCACATAACATCCCACTACCTCTTCTGCCCATCTCTCCTCCACTTTTACCATCGCCCTCCTCACTATTACCCCCACCCCTTCATTCTACTACCTCCACTACCACCACCATCTGAGCCTTGTTATCACCTCCTCTATTGCCATCACCATGAGCTCCACTGCCCCCTCCATCACTGTCCGCCCTGCACCTGCATCATCATAATTACATACATCATCATCTCTACCACTGCAGTCACCTACCCTGTTACCACTATCATCGCCTCCACCATCACCATCTAAACACCCTTCTGCCCCAGGGCCCTGAGAGGACCTGGGTCTCCCCCTCTGCGAATTCCAGCCTCGCAGAGTCGCTGGCCCAGAAACACAGACTAGACCCAGAGGCAGCCAAGCAGAGGTGAAAAGTCCATCCAGGGGCAGAAAGGCATCTGTCCACATGACTTTTGTGTAGGGAACCACACGGGCCTGTGAGAATGCAGAAGCACAAAGCTGAACATCTTCCTCCTAAACTGAGCAGGATCACGCTAAGCAATCCAGCCATTCCGGGGGAACTGGGATTGCAGGGACTGCTTAGCAGATACGAATGGGAATAGGGAGGAGGAAGATGGAGAGGAACCATAGACATCCCGGAACTTGGTCATTCATTCCCTCTTCTCTTTCTTTCATGTGTTCATTCATTCATTCAACAAACATTTCCCTGGGCCTGTTGAACATCAAGTCCTGTGCTAGGTTCTGGCCAAAGGAGCTCCCAGGGCCCTCCTGCCAGTCCATTCCCCCACTGCTGGCTCTTCTATGGCCCGATTCCCTTCCTCCGGTACCCCGATTGGCTCGTACTGGTCTTGGGTTACTGAGAGCACTCCCTTTCCTCATTGAAACTCAGGAGACCTCCTCAGCTGACTAGGTGACCTTGAACGTGTCTCCCTCCCAAACCACACCCACCGAGTACAGGAGAAAGGAAAGCTGAGAGGTCCGGGGCTGGGACGGGCCTGGCTGTGGGTGGGGACGTCCCAGGGCGGGCAGCGGAAGTGTCAGCAGAAGAGGAGGGGCCGCGCTGAGGCTGAGGTGGGAAAGGACTCCAGTAGCCAGAGCCTGGGTGTCTGGCCTCTGGGATGAGAAGGATAGAGCCAGGCAGGGGGCGGGCACCGAGGCCTGAAAATGGAGCAAGGGTGGGGGCCGAGGCAAGTCCTGAGCTGGCAGGACACCAGGAAGGTCACAGGATCAGGGTAGGGACTCAGGTGTCCCTGAGGCCCTGAAGGGGGGACTGACTTCCAGTGACTTGTCTCTACTTTACCCTCAGGTGTGTCAATGCCCCTCCCCTGAGCAAGGGCCAGCCAGGCCTCCTGGTGGGGGGTGGGAGGGGACAGACAGACAGACAGCTTACTCCATGCTGCCAGGTGGGACCCAGGCCAAGCCAATGGGCACACTTCCCCACACCCCCAGGACCGTTCCCACTTCAGCAGTCAGCTGGAAGGGTTCCCAGGGGGTAGGCCACCTGGCCCTGACCACCTCTAGGTTGGGATGCCTGTGCCTTTAAATTCTCAGCAGGTTGAAGCGGCTGATGACATCACTGGTTCCCGGGAGCAGAGGAGCTGGAGCCGGAGCCTGTGGGAGCCCGGGCTGCCAGGGGCTGCAGACATGGAGGGCCACAGCAGCAGTGGCAGCAGGAGGCCAGGGACCCTGGCTGGCCTGGGCCCCCTGCCCATGCCCCACGGGGCTTTCCAAACTGGAGCACCCTCCAAGGTAAGACCCTTAAAGCCTAGCTTCTCCATTCCTGCTCCTTGGTCCCACACCCCACACACACACACTGCGGGCACCCCAGTGCCCCTGGCTGAAGGCTGGCACTCCCCGCTGTCCACTGAGCAGGGATGGGTGAACAGGGCCCCCTGGGGCCTGCGGGGGCCGTGATGGGACATCCAGCGGGAAATGGAGTTAGCTCTCTCCAGGAGCCCCCAGGAGGACACTGGGCTGGCGGTGCTAGGGGACCTAGCTGGGCTCCAGCTCTGCTGTGTGACCTTGGGCAAGTTGCTTGTTCTCTCTGAGCCAATGCAAAATGAGGAGGCTTGTCCCCGAAGACTAAAACTGTGACATCTGGGATGTCTAAGTTGTTAGTGCTGGAGGCGGTGTGGTGGTTGCTGCTGGTGGTGGTGGTGGGGGTGCTCAGCGGGATACCTGAAGCCAGGGGGGATGCCCAAAATGCAGCCTTAACGGGCTGAGTTTGGGGAGGGAGGTGGAGGCAGAGTTTCAGGTTCTCTGGACCGAGAAGGGCACGGGATGCAGGCAGACCGCGTCTCTGGAGGCAGGCATGGGGCCACCCCGGGGCGAATGTAAATCTTCTGCCCTCGCTGGCAGAGGACAAGAAACAGGAGACAGATGGGGGAGAAAAAAAGAGGTCCCTCCAGGGGCCAGGTGACCCCCATTCTACCTGCTGGACAGAAGGAGGCTGCTTGCCGGTCCTCACGAGTGGGAGAGAAGGTGAGGAGGGTAAGAGGGCATAACCTGGGCACAGAGAGGTGTGACGCCAGAATCAACAGAATGCCGGGCTGGCTCTGGATGTTAGAATCTCACTTGGCGAAGAGAGACTACTCCATGGGGCTCAGGTAGAATCCTAGCAAACATTGGGCTCATAAATACAAAGAGAGGGGCGGGGGGGAGACTAAGGTATTCCAGGAACCAGGTGTGGCCAGGGATGGGCTGGCTCTGAATGTTAGAATCTCACTTGGCGAAGAGAGACTATTCCGTGGGGCTCAAGTAGAATCCTAGCAAACATTGGGCTCATAAATACAAAAGAGAGAGAGAGAGAGAGAGAGAGAGAGACTAAGGTATTCCAGGAACCAGGTGTGGCCAGGGACCCTTCACCAAGCTCCTGTGTTTTACAGACAGGAAAACGGAGGCCCTGGGCGAGGAGGTACTTGGCTAAGGTCGCACAGAGCTGGGCTTGGGATAGACATGGCCATGCTCAGCCCGGGCTCTTGCTCTTGCATAGGGTTCTGGGGATGGGTGAGGAGGACAGAGAGGGCCGTGACCACGGTGTGAAATGTGTGCTGGGGGGCCCTGCGGGCTCCTGGGAGCTGTGGAAGAAGGAAGGGATTGAGCAGGCTGGACCTAGGGTGTCCAGAGCGAGTAGATGTGGGGTGTCAGGCCAGAAGCCCTTGACCATGGGAGCAGCAGAGATGGCAGGGAATTTGCCCAGGAAAGCCGGCTCCAGCCCCTGCAACACTCCAGGGTGGCCAGGGAGTGGGTGCCAGCCGGAAGGTCCGGACTGCACTCTGCCTCGCTGGAGTCAGGCGTCTTAGTTTTCCCCGACTCTGACAGAGGTGTCAGACTTGAGGGAGGGGATACGGTTCAGTGTCCAGTTTCCCCCCCAAAGAGAAGCTGATTTGCAGCAGGATGGATTCCCCAACACTCCAGGGTGGCCAGGGAGTGGGTGCCAGCCAGAAGGTTCGGACTATACTCTGCCTCATTGGAGTCAGGCGTCTTAGTTTTCCCTGACTCTGAAAGACGTGTCAGACTTGAGGGAGGGAGTACGGTTCAGTGTCCTGTTTCCCCCCCCAAAGAGAAGCTGATTTGCAGCAGGATGGATTGAGGTAAGACATGAGGAAGAACTTCCTTGGAAAGCTGTCCCTTTCTTAGCTAGATGGAGCCTTCTGGGGTCTCACACGGAAGCCGGGGCCCAAGCCACTGGCTAGGGTTACCCTGTGTCTTTACCTTGTCCTCTACAAGGTGGACTCGAGTTTTCAGCTCCCGGCCAAGGAGAGCGCAGCGCCAGTGCCCCTGGAACCGAGGCTGGCTCTGGCACCTCTGGGGCCACGTGCTGCTGTGCCACCTTCCTCCGAGGGGCCAAGGCTGGCTCTGGCGTCTCCTCGACCCCTCCTGGCTCCGCCGTCTAGCCCTGCAGGGCAGAACGCAGCTCTCACCTGCCACAGCTCCAGCCCGGCCGCGGCATGCGTGGGCCAGCGGGTGGTGTCTGCCGCTGCTGCGCCGAAGCCTCTTCCAGCACCACCAGGCTCCATCCTGGCTCCGGCATCCCCGGGGCGGCTGGTGATGTCTGTCCCAGACGCGCCACGGCTGCCCCCAGCCACCCTGGGGCCCAGGCTGGCTCCGATGTCTAGGGACCAGAAGCAGACAGTACCTGCCTCCTTGAAACCCAAGCCAGCTCTGGCCACTTCCGGCCTGAGCCTGGCCCTGGCGCCTGAGGAGCAGCACCCGCAGCCTCCCTCCAGCTCTGCCCCAATGCCCAGTCCAATTCTGTCGCCCTCTCAGGAACAGACCCTGGCTCCAGCATCCATGACATCAGCCCCGGCCTCTGTGGGACCGACACCAGCTAAACAGAGGGATGCCCCCGCCCCTAGGTCTCTCCCCCCTTCTGAAGGGCATCGCCAGCCTCCAGCCCAGGCATCCAGTCCTGTGGTCTCCCCATCTTTGATCCAATCTCCCCCAGACCCCCGGCTCTCCCCCTCCTTCAGAGCCAGGCCCGAGGCCCCCCGCAGCAGCCCTGAGGATCCTGTCCTGCCCCGGCCAACCCAGATGCTGCCCCTGGATGTGAGCCAGGGCCCTGCAGAGGCTGGCACCCGCTCCCCAGGACTGCTGTCCCCCACCTTCCGGCCAGGGGCCTCCTCAGCTCAGACTGTGCCCCCGCCTCTGCCCAAGCCACCCCGGTCTCCCAGCCGCTCCCCTAGCCGCTCTCCCAACCGCTCCCCCTGTGTGCCCCCAGCCCCTGAGCTGGCCCTCCCCAGGCCTGGCACCCAGGGTGCAGGGCCTGGTGGGCACCTGAGCCCCAGCTTTCAGCCCCGAGAAATGCCAGCCCCAGTCACCACCTCGTCTTCTACACCCACCTCATCGTCCTCCTCCTCTTGGTCAGCTCAGCCCACCTGCAAGAACGACCCCGGCTTCTGGTGAGGGGCCTCTTCCAAGGAGGAGTGTGGGGGCTTGAGCCCCGAGATTACCCATCCTTCTATCCTACCTTACCTCCCTTGGGAAGCGTCCTCGGGGTGCTGGGCCCACTCGGGGACACTCGGAAGACAGCATGCCCTCCTAAGGGACTCGCCCCCCCTGATCTCAATCGATTTCCCGTGGGAGGGTCTGGAGGGAGGGATACGAGCCCACTGGGGGTCCTTCTGAGGGCTTCCACCCACACCTGCCTCAGTTTCCCTCTCCAGAAAGAGCCCTGTGGGAGGGAGATGGAAGATGAGAGGGTGGCGCCCAGCAGTAACCCCTCCTATTCTGGCACCCCCCCCCCCAGGATCACTGTGGTCACGTGGAATGTGGGCACCGCCATGCCCCCTGACGACGTCACATCTCTCCTCCACCTGGGCGGTGGCAGCGATGACAGCGACAGGACAGACATGATCGCCATAGGGTGAGGGGACAGGGTGGGTGGACCCCCTCCCCCCAAACCCTCACCCACGGGAGGGGCTGCTAGGGCGTCCTTCAACCCTACGGCTCACCTCACCCCCCACCCCAGGTTGCAGGAAGTGAACTCCATGATCAACAAGAGGCTCAAGGACGCGCTCTTCACGGATCAGTGGAGCGAGCTTTTCATGGATGCGCTCGCGCCTTTCAACTTCGTGCTGGTAAGGCCTCCCGCGCCCTCCGGATGGGCAGAGACCCCTGGAGGCCGGGCCCGATGGGTCTGTGGAAAGGGAGGATGGAGGAGCAGACCTGAAGGACGGGCCCGGGC